GAAGCAGTCTGAAGGCACTTAGGACAGGTCGAGAGCCTGGAGCTAACATCCAACCTCAAAGGACCACATTCTAGAGAGACTGGAGACTTGGGAAAGCGACCCAAACACTCTAGGGGCACCTGAAGGTTCTGTCTTGAGACCTAGACAAAATGAATGTGTCCAACACAGTGCCTTCTCGCAGTGATCTTTGATGTTTCTCTGGGCTTTTACATTATTAGGTATACTGTACAGCATGATTGAAAGCCACATACATATAAAAGCAGGGCACAACATGCTCAAAGTAATTAAAAGTAACTCAGGTTTTCAAAATACATCACAATTAGTGAGAATCACATAATGACCAACTGTGCTGAATTGCTCGTCCACTCCGCACCGCTGGGCCAGGTCATGCTGTATTTTCAGCACCCACAAATCCCTTGCTGTCTGTTCTATTGTTTACCCAGGGAAGTGAGGGGGTAGGCATTCTTGCTGTAATTTCCTTTATTATTCCATATTCTTAAACTTTTTTTTTTGTCTTTTATCAATGTCATCCAAGGGTGCATGAGAATCATGTTGTTGTTTTTTTCCTAAAAACATCCCTGAGATGTTTAAAAAAAAAAAACAGAATTGGGTGTGATAAAGTGCTGTGAAGATGACCAAATATCTGCTAGATAATTTAAGTAGTTGATTTAGAGTCAATTTAGAAAAACATTAGAGATAACCTCTAGACAATAAAGAGCAGCATTAAACAGATATTTATAAATTCCCTCAGAGTCTGATTCTGTGGTAACTTTCTTAAAGATTTATAAGTCTCCAAAAATATTCCTTTTTCTTTCACATTTATACATATAGGTAAATCAGTTTTGAATTATTCGAATTTGTAGTTATACAGCCTGCAGTGCTAATCACTTGCATAGCCCTGTACCTGCCTGAGGTTCTGGTAGCCCAGGCCCACAGTTCTGCATAGACCTGACTTCCCAACAGAGGAGGTGTCCTGAGAGTAGCAGCCATCTAGGCTGATCTGTCTGCCTGTTAGCACAGGGACTGGGCACACTCGGGCACAGTCCAGAGAAGTTTCCAGAACCCCTGTCCCCAGCCACTCGTTGGAGGTCTGTGAGGCAGCATCATTCCCAAACCTCCCAGAATCCTCACCCTGGGCCTGTGGGACTGGCCTAACATTGCAGGGCTTCTGATGAGGCAAATAAAACTGACTGGCTAAACCTTGAATAGTTCAAGTCTAGGAACTTGATAAGTCAGTGAAAGCTCAGTGCAAACCCAGCTGCGTTCCAAGACTTGATAATTTCAATATGTTTCTCAAACTTCGCAGAGAAGTCCGGCTTCCAGCCAGGCTCTCCCCATGACCTTGAGGAAAGGCAGCCTTGCCCTTGGATGTGCCTTTGCCCACAGGGTCACCCACAGAGCCTGTGAAAGAGATTGGGGAGGAGGTGGAATGGCTAAGTGCAGTAGAAGGGCAGGCTCAGTGTCTGTCCTCACAGCCTGTCAAACAAGTTCCCTCTTTGGACATGCACGAGAATGAGACTTAAAATGAAGGGTGCATGAGATTATTTCTGAGAGCCCATCTTTCTTTATGGGCATATGAGAATAAAAAGGAACCGACTATCTACCGTCTCTCCAATAATGGATCATAAATTTTACAGCACACCCAACCCACAAAAGCCTGTCCTTCCCCTAGCGCTGACTGTTGCTACCTTGGGTTTCAAAATGCCCAGTGATCTTGCCTGTGCTTTCTATTTTATGATTTGAATATGACAGAGTCCAGAGAAAAGGAAGAAAATGTCTCCCTCTTTTCGGGACCATCCCTCTGTCTCCAACTCTCCAGCTATAAAATGAGAATAGCAATCATTACCATAAGGAAATACTTATCTCCAAGGGATATGGGGAAAGTTCATGGGATAATGGGTCCTGTTGCTGCCAGAAAGGGAAAAGGGAGAGCAGAAGCCCCCAGCCCCACCCCAGGGAATTGCTCCTGGCCCAGGTCAGGCCTGGATGGGAACATTGGGAGCGTGGTAGCATGGGCTTGCAGAGTTTCAGTTCTCTGCCTTCCTCTGCCTCCTGGAAGATTCTAGAGTCAGAGACCCCAGAACCTTCTGCCTGGATAGTTCCTCTCTCTGTACTTCTCTGCCCAACAGTTCTTTGGGATCCTTGACAATATCCTGGAAAATCACTTGACACTTTTTGCTGGCAAAACTATTTCTGAGTTTGTATTAAAAAAGTCCAACTTTCTTAAAATTGGACTTCTGTCCACTGTCCTCCAGACACTTTAGGGTACTGAGAGATGCCAGATTATTTTTAGCTATGGATACTGCCTGGCCTTTTACCCACAGAGAATCTGAATCCTTCTGGCCTGTGGCCATGCCAACGTCCTCACACCCTCTCTTTCCCTGGGCTCCATCAACTCACTCCTGAGCCACTGCGTTAGCCGCTCCCTGATGCCTTCAGCATCTCAATTCCCCCTCCCCACGTGCCCCACTGGCCCCAGACACTTTCATCAGCCACCCTCAGCTCCTTCCCATTCAAAAAATCTGCTTGCAGCTACCTAATTCCTATGGGCCACATCTCTGCTGGGACTTTCAAATACATTTCCATTGTAATGGGCTTTCAAGGAAGGTAGGCAGTTCTATTATTGCTCCAATCTTAAAAATTAGAAAATTGAGGTGTAGACAGAAGTTTCCTTCAAAGCAGAACATTATAGATGCCAAAGCTGGAATGTAAACCCAGGACTCCCGAATCTAAATCCAGGCCCTAGTGTGTGCCTTATGCTCTTTTTGCCATTCTCAGCGATCTTCAGTCCGTATGGGAGGGATGAATCATATACGGAGAATTGAAAATAATAATAATAGTTGCTCAAACTCATTCCTAAAATTTCTGAGTCAGTAGCTCTGGGGACTGTAGATATGTATTTTCAGAATGGTGCTGCCATGGTCCATCCTAAATTAAATACCACTATCCTATAAAGTAAAGACTTCATTGTCCCTTCTCACCTGACCCCTTCATTCACATGTCCACCTTGGGTCAGGCCATGCTGATCAATGCACTCTATCCTAGATTTCCTTTGCATCTATCTGACCTCTTCTCCTTTGCTCCTATGAAATCCTCTGCACGGAATGTCCTTCCAGTTTTTTTATTGGGAAGAACTCTGCTTCCAGGGCTCAGGCCATTCTCCCTTTTCCATGAAACCTGCCCTGAGTATCAAGACCATGGGGATCAGCCCCTCATGAAACCCTTCACGCACTCACAGCCTGGAGAAATTCTTTTGGCATTTGTTGTTTATTGCCTCATGTTGCTAGAGATCTATTTCTGCAGAGGAACTACAAGGGGCACAGAGGGTGTGACGAGGAAGGAACAGAGGGTTCAGTCAGGAGCCTCAGCTCTGAGCTCTTGCTCAACTAACTCATGACAGGCTACATGACCCTGAGCCAAACATGGTTTCTTTATTGTCCATTTTGCCATCCCTTGTTTGCTTTGTCTTTGAGCTTCTGTAGTCCTCATTATAAAAAGAGATAATAAAGTTACCTGTCTCAAGATTTCCTTTCATAAAGCACCTAGCACCATTACTGTCATCTAACAGGTTCTCAATATCATCTAGGCCTCAACCTGATCCAGGCTTTCTGTTTAACTTTGTTCTCAACATACCACACGAAAGCCAAAATTGGATTGGCAAAGGAAATCATAACGTGAAATGTGACTTCTCATCACATCCTAAGTGCATCCTCAAACACCTGGAAACATGCCCTTGAACCAGAGGAGGAACAAATGGAATTTTGAAATTCTATAAGGCACATACAGAGAGCAAACATGGAGGGGAGGAGTAGATCTGTAAGGGGAGAAGACTTGGAGGAAGGGGAGGTTAAGGTTTAAGGGCACAGACAATAACATCTCTTTTTCCTCTCAGAATTTAGACCAATTCGGTAGGAGGAATGGAATCACCTAGAAGGAGCTCAAACCATCAGCTGATCCTCTGGGTGGAAGTGCAATGCCCCAACGCTCTGTCCTTGTAGTCTCAACTTCAGAATGACCCTGGCCAGGTCCCCAAGCAGGCACTCTGACCCAGCCTACAGCCAGGAGCATCACTACTTCCTGCCATCCCTGCCCCAGGCCAGAAGCCCTTGATCCTAGGCAGGAGGAGTCCTACGGAGAGGGAAGAGGGTGAAGCTGAGCCCAGACTGCTCAGGTCCCAGTCACTCCTTGTCCCTTAGGAGAAGCAAGTAAAAACTGCAGAGAGGGACTGGAAGCACTCCTCTCCACCCTTTCTCCTCCTGGAGAGGGTGGGGAAACTCTCCATCCTGTCTTTCTTTCTCTGAGGAAATATGAAGGCAGAAAAGCATCCCGTTCTCCCCTGGTCTTAACTGTAGCAGGCAATATGTTCTTAAAAAAAAAAAAAATTAAAAGGCACGTATGTGAAAGTGCAGGATGTGTACACGGAAGGTGGTGCGGGTGCACAGGGTATCTGAAGGCCAGCATGCACACAGGGAGTGACGGGAAAGGAAACAATGGTATTGCCAGATTTGGTGAGCCCCGAATTCCAGGCTTAGGAGTTTGTCTTTGATCACTGGGTAGTGAAAATCCATGCCTCTTATTAGAAACACAACCCTAAGCGTCTGCCTACATGCCACAGCAGTGAGTAGGGCTGGGTTTTGGCAGAAAGAGCTGGCCTTAGCCATCCCCACTCCATACCTGTGTGTTGGTGACCCTGGGCTCCAGGTTGAATCATGCTACATGATTCCCCAAAATATACTCTACAACCCAACATCCTTCAGGTGAATTCAGAAATAACAGAAATATAACAAGCAGCAGACTGCCTCTCCCCCTGGCAGAGATTCAAAAGTAGCAGGAGACAGCCACAGCTACAGGTGAGCCCAGAGAGAGGGTCAGAGGTAACATGCAAACATGAACTTTGGATTCATTACCTTGTCAGAAAAAAAAATAAATAAATAAAAATAAGGCTTCATTCACCGATAGAGGAATTTTATTCTACTCTAGTGATAATAGTCCAAGCCATTTAGCAGTTATGACAAACCAGTCTGAGTACGATTCTTCCAGTTTCTTCTCCTCATCTGGTGCAGTATGAACTACAGCTGTTCAGTGCACTGTGGCTTATAAAGCCCTCTCACACGGCATCTCTCATGGGTCCTTCCAGAGAGATCTCAGTGTGATTTCCATGTGAGGAAACTGAAGCCCAGTTCTACAAATAGGTCACCGCAGGGTTTTGTTGTGGGGACTCTTGATGGAGAAGAAGGTTTAGGACTTGATCATTAAGTCATCAGACTATCCTCTCCAAGGGTCTACAACAGCAGTGTTGTATTTCCATAGTGACCGGATTCACCTCATCCAAAGTGGTTAAGTAGAATAAAGAAGCACCTGTATTTCTGAGCAAAGACAAGATATTAAAATCAGGATTAGCTGGGAAGATTTGGGCTTTCTTACACTACCAAATTTATTTCCCTTCTTTCTTGGTCTTTTAAGTGGTCCTAAAATGTATTAAAGTATATACAGAGATACAAATTCAGAGCTCAAAAGCCAGAAGATACATAAACTCATGTTTTAAAAAGCAATAATTTGACCTCTGCCCTAGCCTTGGGGAGGTATGGGGTGGAGACTAATGTTTGACCCATGCTCCTTTATTCATCTCTGTGTAACCCAGGAAGTCTGAGTCACTCCCAAGCTAGGAGATTGTCAATGAAGTCCACCATGGATCTCCAGAAATTGGTTTTCCCAAAGCCTCTGCTGTTTTTCTTAACAAATCCCACAGCAGTGGCAAATGGTAGGCATTCCTCTCCCCAGCGCCCAACCAGGTGGCCCAAACCTGGAAACTTTCAGGGACTTGCCCAAGGCCCCCAGAGTAACAAGGAGGCCTCTTGGGAGGCTGGTGCTCTTGACTCAAAGCCCAGAGCCAGATCCCCCGTCCTTGAGGGCTTTGGCTTCAGACCCTGCCTGGGAGAACAAAAGAGATTTCAGTTGTCACTTCTCAGCAGCCCTGAGCCACTCCGTTCTGTAACTTGGCTGGCTTTCCTCTGTGCTGTTTCACATCAAGTACCTCCTCCCCAGCCCCCTTCCCCTTAGATGATTGGCTGAAATCAAATATCCTAAAATTACATTGAAAGGGGGTGAAAAAAAGCTAATATGAAATTTTAATAAAAATACAAGCTTAACAGTTCCCAGCCTTTGAAATGCGAAGCAGACACAGGGTCCAACAGGGGTGCCCCGACAGGTTCTCCAGTGTGAAGTTAGTCAAGGAAAGGGGCCCTTTCCTGACCAAGAGAATTACAAGCAAACCAGTGCATTGCAAACCGGGAATTGGAGAAAGAGTCCTCTGAGGAAGAAGCTTGGGTATTCTTCCCCATCCTCATCCTATTTTGGTCCCTGTGTGGGCCTCCAGGGCCTGAAGCTAAAATGGGAAGGCGAGGACCAGACAAAGGATCCTGCAGGGAACCTGAAATCCCAGTTAAATCCAGAGCCATCCTGGGTGAAAGAGGCGGGCATCAGCGCCCTCTGCTGGAAGAGGCCCCACCTGACAACACAAAAAGGATTTCTCCCTGCATTAACTCTATAAATAGACAGATGATTTATTAAACAGATTTGAGGCTCATTTGAGGCACTGGGCCATAACTGCTTCAGGGCTCAAATAAGGGAGTGCTTAGGACCCTGCCTTTGCTGCAAGCACCTGGACTTACTTAGGGAGTCACTAGCATGATCTACATTACAAGTGCATCGGACACTGTTGGCTCAGCCGCTCCCAGCCAGGAGATGCCAAATTCCTCATATATAAAAGGAGCTTTAGTAACTCAAGCAAAATAAGCACACTCTTCCCCCCACAGCCTTCCCAGAGACTGAGGCAGCAGGGTTTCTGGGAGGATACACAATACCTTGTTACAAACCATGTAATGTTTTAAAAAGTATCTATCTGACAGCTTTGGCTAAAGCCAGATCTTCTATCTCGATTACTTCAATATGTCACATCCATATCGCACCACAGCGCCCAGGCTTTCAGAGCCAAGCCCTCTCTGTCTTGTCCAACCTTCCCATCTGGAAGCAATGAGCTTAATATTCTGGCTCTCCCCCCATGAAAGCTATGTCACAAAAAAGTAGCAGCCTGTGAACTGCTTTATCCCCCCAAGACACACCGGGGCTCCTCATTCCCTGCGCGCTCTATTCAGTTACACTTAAAGACCGTCCCCATCTCTCCCCTCCCTGTATCCCCCAAACAGCCTGTAGTGCTCAGCACAGCACCAGGAGGACCGGAGTGAATTGACAATCATTTACACTTTAATCCCACTTTTGACATTTTGAGGGATGCAGCTTAAAATATAGTGGAGGCTCAGGGACTCCCTCTGACCAAATGTGTTTGTTAGAACAGACTCATCCCTTTGCAAGGATCCTACTGTTTCTGGTGGCCCACTGGAGATCTAGCTTTTGGTGTTGTCTGTTTCACCCACCTTAGCTCCTCATGCATGGCCTGGACAGGCTCGCTTTATTCAGTGTCTGGTCATTTGTCATGACGATGATCTTCTGTGTCATATGTGCCTTACTCATTCATCTATTCACTTCTCATCCAACTTTGACTACCTGACGTGTCTCTTTTCGTGTATTCTGCTACATTGCAATGCCAGATGGGTTGGTTCCTGGCTCTTGGGAGCCTGAGTCTCTGAGGGAGGACAACCCTAGCTCTAGAACAGTTAGATCAGTGTTGTCCAATACATGGACCGTGGATCACCACTGCATGGAACCCTTGGGTGCTTGTTATACATGCCTATTTCCTAGTCCCAAACCTACTGATTGAGCATCCATGAGAGAATGGCCTAAGAATGCACATATTTAATAAAGTCCCCAAGTAAGTAAAAATATCTACATACATTAAATTCAGGAGATGCACAGAATTAGGGCAGATGAGACAGCAAATGGTCAAATGCACAATGTGAGGAGAAATCATGTGAACTAAAAAGAGAATTTAGTCCTTGCCTGAAAATGATATAATGCTGCTGCTCATCCTCATGTCCCAGAGTTCCAAAAGATTAACATGAATGAAATCGCCCTCCAACTGAGCTTCCAGGACTTTGGCTACTTTTCTGTTCTTCTTCAGATGGGAGCTTCTAGGGGCAGAGGCCAGCCTTCCTGTGTTGAGTCCTTGGGGAAGGGCCTCTGCATCCTGGGAGGGATTTGGAAGAGCAGCTCCTCTAAACTCTTTGTTTTAGAGAAGGACACCTAGGCTCAGATGCAGAAGTGGGCTGCCCAAGGTCACACGGCCTTTTCAAACAAATTTATTTAGGTTAATTCTTTGAATTGAAGACATCCATATTTGGGTATAAGCCCAAAATCATGTTTGTTAAGGCCTGGATTCTCCAGTGTCCTAAAGCATTGCCCATTTGCTCACTTCCACTGAAGAGTTTTAAAAAGTGCTCATCTGAGAGCCATTGTGCAGGCAGGGCCTCCAGCAGCCCAGCCTCTACAGACAATGTGCACAAAACCTGTTTCCTGAGAGGCTGCTTGCTGCACTGCAGTTAACCTCTTTTTGGCAAATTAGTTCATGACCTGGGAACAGTTAAACGAAACTGTAGGTACATCAAGAGGAGGTTATTTGTGTTCTGTCTTTTTTTAGACCAAGTCTCTGATGTGTTTATTTGGAAGCTTGGCTCATGCTTGCTATCCCACTACTTACAGTTAATCCTGTGTTTTCTTTGAGCTACCTTTAAATCCATGTCAAATGAAAAATACTGCCTGATTTTGAAGTGCACGATATTATAAAAAGAATCCCAAGGTTTATGATTCCAAATTTATTGTCAAATGTATTTACTTTTCTTTTCTTTTCTTTCTTTCTTTCTTTTTTTATCCCCCCAGGTTCAAATCAGCCTAGAGAGTTTTAGTATGATTCATGGAGCAGCAGGGATGGAAGATACTGGGTAGTGTTTCCTGGGAAACATTTTGTCCTTCAAAAGAGATGCTCATAGAGTCCTCCTTAGGACTTTTCAGTCTCTTGAAAAGAAAGTCAGTTTCAAAGGACAGGGGCCATGTCTGATTCACCCTCTATCTTATTTCTGACACTGGGTTTGACATACAAGCCTCTTCAGTAAGGTTTAGCTGGTTGAGTGACCATGGACGTGGGCACAGAGCCAGTGCCTCCACTATTACTGGCCTTGCTTCTAGTAGAATGAGTTTTTAAGGAGCTTACACATCTTGGCTATTTTCTTATATGTCCATGAGGCAGAGAAACTTATTCTCAGGGGAAAAAAAAAAAGCCCCTTTGAAAGCAGTTCTGTCTTTAAATATTCTGGAAATGACTAAAATTATATAAATATACTCGTGAATCTAATATGACTTTCTACTCATTATAAAGCAAGGTTCAGTAAAAATAAAGATTGCTTTTTATACCTTTTTTTTTTTTAAAAAAAAAAAAAAAAACTTAACATGAACCTTTTAATCACAACTGTTACGTTTCTACCAGTCTTAGGAATGTGGGTTGGTTGGCCTTGGGACCCTGGTATATTCTCCGAGGAGGAGGATTTACCATGTCCTAACCAAGACATGAGGAAAGGTGGCTTCCTGGTGCTTAAGGTAGCAGACATTGAGCCTCCCAGAGCAGACGTCCTTCCTTGGCTCTGTGGCTGCCTTCATCTCCAAAGAGCCACGCGCGAGTGTGGCAGTGATGGAAGGCAAAAGAAGAGCCAGGGAAGGAGGAATCCTCTGTCCTCCACTCTGTCCGGCCCCACCTGGCACCTCACAGGTTAGCTCAAGGTGAAGCGCACAGAGTCTCCCAGTGCTCTCACATGCTCTTAGGGGGCCTCTCCTCTCTTATTTGCGGTTATATTTTGAAGCTGCAAACGCACCCAGTGATGGGGGAGAAAGAGCATTCATCAATCCTGGTGGTTCCTTCAGCCTGTGGCTAGACCTCATACCACTCTCTCCAACACTAGGTTAATTATTCCACGGACTTGTTTTGGACGAGTAAATCTCAATTCGCAATGATACTAAAACGTGTGTTTCTCCTGTCCGTATGTTCCTAGCTCAGCCATGGGCATAGTATGTATGTTTGCTAAATGTTCAGTAAATGCAAGAGGATTTACAAAGCCCAGCCTTGCCCATCACTTTCTATGAGAATTCCAGGCAGAAGGTCCAGATACCTCTGGAAGACTTAAGCAGGTGTTCAGAACCGGCATCTATATTGCCAGTTGACCTTTGAACTGCTTTGAGATAATGGTGAAAGCCCACAAAGCTTCCTAGAAATGCCACCCTGCTACATCAGGCAGATTAAGAACCACACAGTAAACAGTTTGTACACTTCCTACTTTTTATCAAGACCCTGCCATCCAGGGCTATGGTATTTGAAAGGATTCTACTCCTCTGGGGCTAAATGGACCCCACTGGTTCTATTCTAAACAAGTTCACAGCCCAGCCCCGTAGCCTCTGGCTCACACAGGCAGAGTTCTCAGCCTGTCTCAGTGCACCTTTCACATTTGAACCGTCCATCAGACATTAATGTGACGGAGCCATCACCACACAAGTTCTCTGTGCCATTAATATCCTGGGATGAGAACATCAAATATACACATCCTGAGATATAATCTCTAAACAGAGCCCCAAGTGTCCGGGAGAAGGAGGTGTGTTTATGTTTCACTAGTGCTACTTCCATAAAGTTCCACGGGCCTATCTCTAGCAGTAACCAGAGATGCTTTCTTGATGGTCAGAGAGTAAAGTCTGAGGCGAGGTTGTGATCTGAGGCCTACGCATGCTCTGATGGCCCCTCCTGGGAATGAAGCCTGGTGTTCACCAAATGGCCAGGACCTCACTCTGAGAGGCTCCAAAGGCAAGTGACGAGAAGCCCTGTTGACTCATGTTATCCTCAGTCACTTCTGCAGGACACTCATGAGGATGTGTGAATGACTCTCACCCTTTCTTCCAGGAAATGGGAAGGGCACAGTGGCAGAGTCTCCTCTGCAGTCCCAAGATTCCAAACACGGCTGTCAGAGCCGTCGCTTGCGTGTGTAAGATCCAAAAGCAAATTTGACCAGTTTGGAGATAATTTCTGAAGTATCGAAGTATGTGAGAGACACTGACAGGGACAGTCACTCAGAACAAATCATTTCCAGTTTCATTTCTGTGCCAAAAATTCGCCTGGCCCACTCTTGTAAGAGAGCAGCTGCCGTTACTTCTACCGAGTTTTGAGTAGGTCACCTGGATTATGGCTGTTAGTCCAGGGTAGCAGACGGGTGTAAAGGAAGGGAAACTCTTACTTAAGAGGAGGAAGACGAGGAACAGGAGGAGCACAAGAAGAAGGAAAGAGAGAGAAAAGGAGGAAGCAAAAATAACTGTTTGAAAGAAGGGTGAAGCATCGCCTTAGAAGTGAATGTGGAACAGATTTCCTTTCCTAAGACAAGGCTCAAACTGCCCATCACAGTGCACATCCAGCTCTCAGAAGTATTTTGTTTGGCCCCATCCTTTTGGCCTGGGGTGTCCCTTTGAATCAGAGGCATGCATTTGGCTCTGAGAAACTTATTATTTCTACAAATTTGCCCTCTAACACCCAGAGGGAGATGGGCTGCAGCCTGAGAAGGTTATTAACTCTTGGTGGCACTGTTCAGACAGAGGCCAATCCTGGAGGGACCCAAGGCAGAGCGCCACCATTCATGGGGAGAAGCTCTATCACTTACCTCTGCTTCTGTCTCCACAGGTATCCTGGTTGTTCTGCTCTGCTGCCAAGCACACCAGGAAGTACACACGCACACATACAAGGCACACACACGTGGACTTTTCCTGTCCAATATGGCAACGTGGGGTTGTATCTGAATGTACCTAGTCTCCTTGGGTACCTGCCCTTCCTTCTATCTGCTATTCTCACATATATTTTCCTTCCCGGCCCTATTGGGGTTGCACTTTGCAAAGCAATCCTGATATCCTCTTTGTTTTCACCATCCAGTTGTGTCTACTCTCTTTTTATCGCTGGGAAGACAGTGAACCTCATAGTGTAGCCCACCAAACAGCAGATTTGATGCAGCAGGAGACCTACCTCACTCCCATTCAGTCACCTCCACATGTTCTCTCTCACCAAGGCCCCTTGTCCTTTGTAAGGGCCAATACACAGAAGCCTTCTCACTGGTGGCCACTCCACGGTTAATATTTCTTTCTTTTCTTCTGTGATCAAAAGAAATTGTTTCCTCAAAGATGTTGGAAGCTCCCTATGGAGAAAGAAATATTATCATTTCTCTCTCATCTTTTTGCACTCATGGGCTAACAGAGCTTCTCAAACCTCAAGGGCTCTGGTCATAATCGCCAAACCAAGGGAAAAGCAGCTGGAAACACAGCCCAGGAACGTGTTCCCAGAAGTTCAGCCCCTGGCTCCCGTGGATTGCACCTCACACATGCACACCCTGTCTGTGTACACTTAGAGCACGTTCTAGCCAGATCAAACCTGATTCTCACAGTGACCCCAAGGAGCCACAGACAAGTCCTCTTCTTTTCCCACAGTACAGATGACAAGATG